TAGAGTCAGCCTTCAGACTGAAGGGTCCCTCCCGGTTTCAATTCCAGTCAAAGGTATATGCCTGGGTTGTGGGCTCGATCCTCAGGAGGAGGCGTTCAAGAGGCAGCCGATCAATGATTCTCTCACCATTGGTGTTTCTACCTCCCCCTCCCTCTCCCTTTCTCTCTGAAATCAATAAAAACATATTTTTTAAAAATTAAAAAGAAATAAACATCAATGATGAGAAAAAATCACTAATCGGCTGCCTCTTGCCCCCCCCCCCCCCCACCCGAGGACCAAGCCCTGACCTCCAGGTTCATAGGTCCACACTCAACCACTGAGCAAGCCAGCGAGGCAGCCTTATTGTATTTTACAGGCACCGGCTTTGGTAGTTCGGACCAGGGCCCAGCTAGTCACCTAACAAAGCTTCATCGGTCTGGCCCATGGTTTAAAGGGTTTGTTTTTTTGTTTTTATATGTTTTTTAAAAATATATTTTATTGTTTGTTTTTTTTTTACAGAGAGAAAGGGAGAGGGATAGACAGTTAGAAACATCGATGAGAGAGAATCATCTATCATCTGCCTCCTGCAGACCCCCTACTGGGGATGTGCCTGCAACCAAGGTACATGCCCTTGATCCGAATCAAACCCGGGACCCTTCAGTCCCCAGGCCAACACTCTATCCACTGAGCCAAAAACGGTTTCGGCTATATGTTTTTTGGTTTTTTTTTAACGTGTTTTTTTTAGCGAGAGGGAAAGAGAGAGAGAAAAATCAATGAGAAACATCAATTGGTTGCCTCTGCACGCCCCCAAGTGGGGATGGAGCACGCAACCTGGCATGTGCCCTGACCAGGAATCAAATGGTTGAGGTCTTGGTGCGCAGGAGGGAGTTCAACCAACTGAGCCACACCGTCAGGACTAAAGGAGTAGCTTTGTATCCACTGCCGCCTTTGGCTGCTGAGCAGAAATTCGGCCCATTTGCCAGAACTTCCTTTTTTAAAGAGAATCTGGCTCAGCCGGCGTGGTTCAGTGGTTGAGCATCGACCTATGAACGAGGAGGTCACTGGTTCCATTCCCCGTCAGGGCACATGCCCAGGTTGTGGACTCGATCCCGTGTGGATCGAGCTGCCTCCTGGACACGCCCTGCTGGGAATGGAGCCCATGACCCCGGCATGTACCCAGACTGGAAATCAAACCATGACTTTCTGGTTGATAGGTCGATGCTCAACCACTGAGCCACATCAGCCGGGCTAGTCTCTCTCCTTTTTTTTTTTTTTTTTTTTTTTTTTTTTTTTTTTTTTCTTAATTTTTATTGTTCATATTATTACAAATGTCCCTTCCCCCCCCTTCCCACCCCACCCTCTGCCCTTTCCCCACCCCCCATTGTCCTCATCCATAGGTGCACAGTTTATGTTCAGTCTCTTCCCATATCCCCTTCTCCCCTTTTCCCCAAGAATCATCAGTTCACTCCCCTTCCATACCTCTGATTCTATTATATTCAACAGTTAATATTGTTCCTCAGATTTTTTTTAAATTTCCTTGGTTTTTAGATTCACTTGTTGATAGTTACGTATTTGTTGTTCATAATTTTTATCTTTCACTTTCTCTTCTGAAAGAACCCCCTTCAGCAATTCATATAATTCTGGTTTGGTGGTAATGAACACCTTTAGCTTTTTTTTATTAGTGAAGCTCTTTATCTGACCTTCGATTCTGAGTGATAGCTTTGCTGGATAGATTATCTTTGGCTGTAGGTTCTTACTATTCATCACCTTGAATATTTCTTGCCATTCCCGTCTGGCCTGCATGGTTTCTGTTGAGAAGTCAGCTGACAATCGTATGGGTGCTCCTTTATAGGTAACTACCTGCTTAGCTCTTGCTGCTTTTAATATTTTCTCTTTGTCTTTTGCTCTTGGAATCTTAATTATGATTTGTCTTGGTGTGGTCCTCTTTGGATTTCTTTTATTTGGAGTTCTGTGTGCTTCCTGGACTTGTAAGTCCAATTCTTTCCCCAGGTGGGGGAAGTTTTCTGTCACTATTTCTTTCAATATGTTTTCGATATCTTGCTCTCTCTCATCTTCTGGGACCCCCATAATTCTGATGTTGGATCGTTTGAAGTTGTCCCAGAGGTTTCTTACATCATCTTCAATTTTCTGGATTCTCTTGCCTTCTAGCTTCTGCAGAGGAGTATCTTCTGGCTCTTTATGTTCCAAATCTTTGACTTGATTCTCAATTTTCTGGATTTTCTTGCCTTCTAGCTTCTGCAGAGGAGTTTCTTCTGGCTCTTTATGTTCCAAATCTTTGACTTGATTCTTGCGATCTTCTATTCTGTTTTTAGGACTCTGTATAATAGTTTTTATTTCAGACAATGTATTCTTTATTTCTTGTTGATCCCTTTTAATATCCTCATAAGTCTCATTTATTTTATCGGCCTTTTCTAGGAAACTCTTGAAAAACCTTATAAGCGTAGATTTGAACTCTATGTCCAGTCGCTTTTTGTCCTCCATTTCTTTGGTTTGTGATCTATTTGGTTTAGGCATTTTCGCAGGCAGCTTTCCTGATGGGGCGGGGTTTCAGGGTGGAGCCTACAGCTTTGGCTTCCGTCAGCCCCGCCCTATGCGACTCCTGAGACTCAGGGTCCTTCAGTACTTGTTGTAAGCGCCTCTGAGAGAAAGGTGCCCTGGATTTTTGCCTGCTGCCAAACAGTCTAGTTTCTCCCCCAATGAGCCCGGTATTGGGGTTCAGTTCAATTGGAAGTGGAGTTGGAGGTGGCGTTCAGAGCAGTCTGGAGCCCCTGTCTCCTTCCCGCCAGGCAATCCCGCGGCACAGCCAACCGTCCCTTCTCTGTGCTGCGCCGCCGCCGGGACCTCCTTTGGCCTCTTCCCCGGGTTCCGCCTTTCAGCCCGGCTCCCTCTGTGTGAGCCTGGGTCCCCGGGGTCTGGCCTAGGCCTGGGGTTCAGAGCAGTCGGGGCCCGGCACAGTCGGAGTTTTATCTCCTTCCCGCCAGGGAACGCCCGCCAGGCACTCCGCCTCCCTTCTCTCTGGCTCTGTCCTCTCCGCGCGCCGCGTGTCTCCGTACCTTAGGCTTTTCCAGCTCCTCCACGCTTCCTTCTGGTTTCCTCCTTGCTTCTCGTTGTAGAATTTCCAGTCAGTCGACTTTTCTGTAGTTCTGGGTGATGTCCATTTTATATTTTAGTTGTATTTTATTGAAATTGTTGCATGCGGCTGCGGCTAGGTGCCTACCCGAGCAGCCATCTTGGATTCTCTCTAGTCTCTCTCCTTTTGAAAAAAATTGAGTTCTATTTTAAGTTGTATATCTTACAATGTTAATTTAATCATTAAAATTTAAATGTAATTTTAAACATCTAATTAACAATTAGCTTAGTCACATTAACCTGGAATATGAAGTTAATATTAAATTTAATATAATAAGCTTATAGATGATCATGTTTTATCTTCACATATTTGTTAAGATCAACTCTTAAGTATACAGCTTGATAAATTTTTATTTATTTATCTTTATTGTTGAGGCTATAATGGATATCCCCTATTTTTCCTCTATTGCCCCTTCCATCAGTTCCTATCCCACCCCAGGCATTCACCACGCTATTGTTTCTATCCATAGCTATGCATGGATGCATATAAATTACTTGGTTAATTTCTCCCTGCCCCTCCCCTTCTCCTTGAGATCCAGTAGTCTGTGCCATGATTCCATGCCTCTGAACCCATTCTGTTTATTAGTTACTTATGTACACACTATGGAGCTACTCAAAATACACCTTTATTTTCCCATCTTTTTATTGTTGTTAATCCTCACCCAAGGATATTTTTCCCATTAATTTTTTTTTATTTTTATTTTTTAAAATATATTTTATTGATTTTTTTTTTTACAGAGAGGAAGGGATAGGGATAGAGAGTTAGAAACATCGATGAGAGTCATTGATCAGCTGCCTTTTGCACACCCCCTACCAGGGATGTGCCTGCAACCAAGGTACATGCCCTTGACCGGATTCGAACCTGGGACCTTTCAGTCTGCAGGCCGACGCTCTATCCACTGAGCCAAACCAGTTTCGGCTCCATTAATTTTTTAGAGACAGTGGAATGGAGAAAGGGAGGGAGAGAGAAGTGGACTGGTTGCCTTCCGCCCATGCCCTGAAATGGAACCTGCAACCCAGGTACCTGTTCTTGACCAAGAATCGAACCACGGCCCTTCAGTGCGTGGGCCAACACTCTAACCACTGAGCAACACCAGCTATGGCAGCACCCATCTTTGTATCATCTTGCATGGCACTGATATCTTTGATCCGGTGACTTGCCATTGGGTTTGTCTGGTGCCTCCTCACAATTAGATTCAGGTGAGGCAGTTCTGCGGGGGCTGCTACAGCCGTGAGGTGTGTCCTTCCCGGCCATCGGGCATGCCTGAGTCCCCTGGGCCCAGTCGCGGTGATGCTGACCTTGATCACTTGGTTAAGGTGGTGGACACTGTAAAGGTGCCTTCCTGTCCTTGTCACAAGGAAGTTGTCTGCGGGCAGTCCTGAGAGACCTGGTAGGCATCCAGTTTAAAAAAAAAAAAAAAGTATTTTATTGATTTTTTCACAGAGAGGAAGGGAGAAAGATAGAGAGTTAGAAACATTGATGAGAGAGAAACATCCATCAGCTGCCTCCTGCACACCCCCACTGGGGATGTGCCTGCAACCAAGGTACATGCCCTTGACCGGAATTGAACCTGGGGCCTTTCAGTCCGCAGGCTGATGCTCTATCCACTGAGCCACACAAGTTAGGGCTCATCCAATTTGTAAAAGTCTGAGTGGCCAAAGGAAGCACACCTGGGGGCTGCGAACATGTCCCAAGGCCCTCCGAGCACCAGCTGGACGTCTCAGGTTGAGGAGCTCAGAGGGGTCTTAGGCAAACACCCGTCCATCACTCTAGGGGGAGGGGGTGAGGACCTACCCAGGGAGTCCCCAGGGCGTTTGGACAGATGCTGCTGTCTACGATGGGACCCCCAAAGAGCCCTGTCTTCCTGCAGCTCCGGGACTGTGGCGGGCTGCGGGAGGTGGAGGTGACCGCGTGCCTGGTGTGGAAGGACTGGCCTCACCGAGTGCACCCCCACAGCCTCGTGGGCAAAGACTGCACCGACGGCGTCTGCAGAGTGCGGCTCCGGCCTCACGTCAGCCCCCGGCACAGGTACCCAACCCTGACCCCAGCCCCTTCGCTCTTGGCCGTGGAGATCCCGAGGGGCTCGAATCACCAGGAGACCTCGGGACCAGGCCCCGCTCAGCCAGGCTCTCCCGATTGCATCTCCCAGCCGAGGGGCCTGAGGCCTGGGCAGTGGAGGGGTCTCCTCAGGCCTGGCGCCCTGCCCCACCCGTCCACATCGTTCTATCTATCTCCGTATCGCAGAGGAGGAAACTGAAGCTCTGAGAGGCTGTGGGGCTCCAGAGAGCCAATGGCAGAGCTGGGATCTGACCCAGGACCTGGCTCACCTGCAAGCCCGTTCTTTCACTCTATAATTTATATATTTTTAATAAATAAAAATGTTAAAGGTTCAGAAAGGGTGTGCAGTGAAAAATGAACCTCCTTCCTTCCTTTGGTCTTCCAGACACTAGTGTCCCTTCCTGGGGGCAATTAAACATGTGCTCTGCATAGATATATCTTTTCTCTCCTTATAAATAAGAGCAGACACTCGAACCTCATTTTGGTGTTCCAGTACATATTGGAGATCAAGCCTTTCAGAACATTTAGAGCTGCCCTATCCTTTTTACTGGCTGTATAATATTCCAATGTGTGGCTGACTACACACTGTGACTTGATATCAATATGTATTAGATAGGAAGGGAGAGAGAGGAAGATAGAAACATCCGTGATGAGAGAGAATCATTGATCGACTGCCTCCTGCACGCCCCCCAACTGGGGATAGAGCCCACAATCCAGCATGTGCCCTGACCGGGAATCGAACTGTGACCTCTTGGTTCCTAGGCTGATGCTCAACCACTGAGCCACACCGGCCTAGCAAGTCCTCTATTAATGGACACCTACAATGGTTTCAGTCCCTTGTGCTTCTACGATAAACTGGGTTGCAGTGAATTGCTTGATGTATAGATCATTTCTTCTCTGGGGTAAATTCCTAGAAATGAGATTGCCGGCTCCACGTGGGTACATGTATACTCAGTGATCGGTACATTTAGGAAGAGCAGGGATTTTGTCTCTCTTGTTCCCTGCGATATCCCCAGCACACGGTAGGCGCTCAGAAAATATCTGAGGAATGGGTGGATACGGCCAGATCGTCCTCCAGTGTGTAATTGCTGGAGCCCTTTCCAGCCCCACAGCAGGGGCGAGCGTGGCGACTTCTCCGCCGCCTCACCGGCAGAGGGCGCCAGCACACGCTTTGATCGTTGCTGTTTGGATCGTAAAAATGGGCATTGCGCTGGTGTTTCATTTGAGTTTTCTTATCAGTGAGGTTGGCCAGTGGTGACGCCCCTGGAGGGTTTGAACCCCAGATCCTTTCAGAGCTGGGACCGCTGGGCCCAGGTGCCTCAGCCTCTGAGACTGTGCGCCCCAAGGCAGGGAGCCTCTGCTGGAGTCCTCCTGGGAGTTAGCGCTCCCCCTGACCCTGGTGGTGACCTCCCTTCCCACCCGCCCCCCATGCAGCTTTAACAACCTGGGCATCCAGTGTGTGAGGAAGAAGGAGATCGAGGCTGCCATCGAGCGGAAAATCCAGCTGGGCATCGACCCGTATAATGGTGAGCCCAGCCCCCCAGCCCTCTGCCCACGCCCTGCCCTTGGCTTCTCTGGCCCCACCATCTCCTCCGTCCTTCCCTCGCCCCCGTCCCCCACCGGGCTGTGGACCCCCACCTCAGCTTTCCCACGTCTCTCTCACAGCTGGGTCCCTGAAGAACCACCAGGAGGTGGACATGAACGTGGTCAGGATCTGCTTCCAGGCCTCTTACAGGGACCAGCAGGGGCAGATGCGCCAGATGGAGCCCGTGCTCTCTGAGCCCGTCTATGACAAGAGTGAGTCCAGGGTGCTGTGGCCGTAGGACTGTCTTTGGCTGCAGGTACCAAAAAGCCCCACAAAGGCACATGCCCCAAATAGTCCTGGGGATAGAGCCTGCAACCGAGGTACGTGCCCTTGACTGGAATCCAACCCAAGACCCTGCAGTCCTCAGGCTGACACGCTAACCACTGAGCAAAACTGGCTAGGGTGGGAGTTCTTTTTAAAAAATATATATATATTTTATTGATTTTTAAAAAAATATTTTATTGAGTTTTTACAGAGAGGAAGAGAGAGGGATAGAGTTAGAAACATCAATGAGAGAGAAACATCGACCAGCTGCCTCCTGCACACCCCCTACTGACGATGTGCTCGCAACCAAGGTACATGCCCTTGACTGGAATCGAACCCAGGACCTTTCAGTCCCCAGGCTGACGCTCTATCCACTGAGCCAAACCAGTTTCAGCTGACTTCTTTAAAAAAAAAAAAAAAAGTTTTTATTGATTTTTAGAGAGAAAAGTGAGAGGGATCGAGAGATAGAAACATCGGTGAAAGAGAAACATCATCATAGGCTGCCTCCTGCACTCCCCCTACCTGGGGGTCCAGCCTGCAACCTGGGCAAGTGCCCTGACCGGGAATCTAACCAGTGACCTCTTGGTTCATGGGTCAGTGCTCAACCACTGAGTCACATCAGCCGGGTTTCCCCTCCCCTTTTTAAACTGACTTCATTGGGATGAACTTGGCTAATAAAAATCACACAGGCCTCAGGGATACAGTTCTATAACACATCATCTGAATATTGTATTGTGTGCTCACCACCCCCGTTAGACGTCTGCTTATGTCCCATTGGCCAGACGTGGTCCCATGGTTGCAAGGGAGTCTGGGAAAGAAAGCATTTAGGTTTTCATCCTATATAGAGGGGACAGGCATGGAAGAGGGGGTTGGGAATGGCTACTAGGTTTTAGCCAGCTTACAGTGACTGCCATAAGCATTAATATGGGGAAGGCTGTCCTAACTGGTGTGGTTCAGTGGATAGAGCATCGGCCTATGGACTCAAGGGTTCCAGGTTCGATTCCGGTCAGGGGCATGTACCTTGGTTGCGGGCATATCCCCAGTAGGGGGTGTGCAGGAGGCAGCTGATGGATGTGTCTCTCTCATCGATGTTTCTAACTCTCTATCCCTCTCCTTTCCTCTCTGTAAAAAGTCAATAAAATATATATGTATTTTTAGAATGGGGAAGGCTATTATTTCAATCAGGGCTTTTATGGATGCTAGTGATAGAACCCCAACTCAAATGGGCCAAAAGAGGAAAAAAAAATTGTTTCATTAAACTAAAAAAAAGCCTAGAGGTAGCACAGTGCTTCAGGTCTGGCTGCTTCCAGGTCCTCAGAGATGTCATTAGGGGTCTGTGTCCTCTCCAGCCATGCTTCCTCCGTGTTAGAGTTATTCCTGGCAAAGCCGTCCCACCTGCGGGCAAGATAATTGTGTGTAGCCTTAGGCTTACATCCTACCAGGTTGGCACCTCTCCCCCTCTCCCAACAGTCTTGCTCAAAGTCTCAGGGCTGTCTCTCATTGGCCTGAGGTTGGTCACGTGTCCAATCTCTGACCAATCAGCTGTGGCCAGGAGGAGGTGATGTTCTGATTGGCCAGGTCTGGGACGCCTGCTCACTGCTGAGCTAGGGAGTGGACTCAGCCTTACCCAGCCCCCATGCCTGAGATGTGGGGTGGTCCCTCCAAAGAAAATGGGGGGGGGGGCAGTTAGCAGAAGAAGGGCCAGCACTGGTAGAGGTAAAACAACAGGTGCTCACTACAGGTCTCAGGACATTAACCCTCATCTAAGAACTGGCTCTGATGCCGGACCCTGCCAGCTCTCCCTAAATTCTGAGGGTCTCTCCTTCAGCCAGACACCCACCCGAACTCAGCTCGGAGGACTTGTGATTGATTATCCATCAGGCCCCTCTCGTCTGAGCGGTTTCTTTTCCCACCCCGGCTCTGGGTTCCAGGAGGGACAGGTGCCCTGGAGACAGAGGATCCAGCCCAGGGTGGGCACCCCGGGGCACCTGGTAAGGATTTGGTCACTGAATCCCCTGTTTTGTTTTGTTTTTTCCCCTCATGTACCTCTTCCTCGTGCTCCTTCCCAGAGTCCACAAACACGTCTGAGCTGCGCATCTGCCGGATCAACAAGGAGAGCGGGCAGTGCACGGGGGGTGAGGAGCTCTATCTGCTGTGTGACAAGGTGCAGAAAGGTGAGCGGCCGGGCCGCCAGCAGGCCGGGGGGCTGGCGGCTTGTGGGGTAGCCCGGGAGGAGCTGGAGCACCGGCTGTGGGGCAGAAGAATCCAGAACTCTGGTTTTGGAGTCAGACACAGCCGATTGGTTCATTCACAGTCACTCACTCCTTCACGTACAGAGATGGAGGGCCTGCAGACCGCCCACCACGAGCTCCCTGTCGGGGGGGGGGGGGGGGGGGGCTGATACAAAAATCGTGGAGTTGCACAAATCAATGCTTTATAGAGGTTGTGATAAGGGCTCTGGCTGGAGAAAATGGAGGACAACAGGGGATGGAGGAGCATCTCGCCATGTCACTCATGTCTGTTCAAATATCCCTCCTTAGTAGGCTTCTTCAGAAAACCCTCCACTCTGTCTCTGTCTGGCTCTCTCTCTGTCGCTGCTTCTCCCTGTCTCTCTGTGTCCCTCTGCCTGTTTCCCTTTTTCTCCCTTTCTCTCTCAGATTCTCTGTCTCATCTCCTGCTGCACCTGTCCCTCTTCCTTTGTTTCTCTCACACATACACATCCTTCCCTTCTCTGTTCCTGGACACCGCTGACTCACACATTCCTTTAAAAAAAAAAAAAATAGCCCTGGCTGGTTTGGCTCAGTGGATAGAGCATTGGCTTGTGGGCTGAAGGGTACTGGGTTCGATTCTGGTCAAGGGCATATGCCCGGGGTTGTGGGGTGGATCCCCAGTAGGGGGTGTGCTGAAGGCAGCCCATCAATGATTCTTTTCTTTTTTTAAAATATATTTTATTGATTTTTTACAGAGAGGAAGGGTGAGGGATAGAGAGCTAGAAACATCGATGAGAGAGAGAGACATCGACCAGCTGCCTCTTGCACACTCCCCACCGGGGATGTGCCCGCAGCCAATGTACATGCCTTTCAGTCTGCAGACCGATTCTCTATCCACTGAGCCAAACCGGTTTCGGCTTTTCTTTTTTCTTTTTTTCTATATTTTATTGATTTTTTTTTTTAACAGAGAGGCAGGGAGAGGGATAGAAAGTTAGAAATGTCGATGGTTAGAGCATCATCCCGATATGCCAAGATGGTGGGTTTAATCCCGTCAGAGCCCATACAAGAATCAACCAGTGAATGCATAAGTAAGCGGAACAACAAATTGCTGTCTCTCTCTTTCCCTTCATTTCTCTCTAAAATCAATAAACAAAGATTAAAATAAAATAAAATACATTTTAAGTGGGTGTGTGGAAGAATGAACATAGCAGACCTGAGACCGTTATCCTTTGAAAGACCTGCTGACAAGGTCGGCCCTCGTGTGTTTGAGAGTGCCCTCCCATCCCTGGGGGTAAGAGGGCTCCCTGCGCCTGCACCTGCACCATGGTTTGTGGGGAGCATGGGCTTCGGGGTGTGCCAGGCACAGTACCCGCCTCATGGCATTGAGGAGGCGGAGGGAACCAGCCCCCAGGGAAAACCCTGGGCTCTGAGCATCTAAGGAGTGTCCCTGGTGGACAGCATCTCGTGTGTTCTCACTGTGTTCCCGGGGGATTGCCAAGTGGGTGCGACTCCGCCAGGAGAGGACTCCTGGAGCTTGTGCCGGTTTCCTCCGGACTCGCTCCGGGCCCCCTCTCCCTTCCCCTGGGCACCTGGTAGCTCTTTGCTGTGACCCATCACAGCCGTGAGTCCCCTTCGTGAATCACTGAGCCTGACGGTGGTCTTGGGGACCCCTGACCTAGTGGGAATGTTGATTCTAGCTGCCGTTCGGGTTGTTCAGAGGATTAAATGAGATGCTATATCCTAATGGGTAGGGACTGTCTGTGTGTCACACTAGGTGCTGATCAGAAGGTGAGCGACCACAATGACTCGTTTGGTTCTTAGGCATATTAATGTCGATTTGGGGGAGCCGGGGCGGGTTGGGGGCCCCGGGGACCAGTGTCCTTGCTCAGCTGATGTCCGGACTGTCCGCAGAGGATATATCCGTGGTGTTCAGCAGCGCCTCCTGGGAAGGCCGGGCTGACTTCTCCCAGGCCGACGTGCACCGCCAGATTGCCATCGTGTTCAAGACTCCGCCCTACGAGGACCTGGAGATCGTGGAGCCTGTGACCGTCAATGTCTTCCTGCAGCGGCTCACCGACGGGGTCTGCAGCGAGCCCCTGCCCTTCACATACCTGCCTCGGGACCACGGTAACCACAGCAACTCAGGACGACCCCCCCCCCCCCGTACCCCGGAGACCAGGCCTTTGGCCTTGCTTGGGGCAGCTCAGAGGGAAAGGGGCAGAAGTAGATTGCAGGCTCAGAGCTGGACAGACTGGGGTTTGAATCCCGGTTCTGCCACTTACTGGCTGTGTGACCTTGGCCTCTCAGCGTCTCACTCCTCTGTGAAAAATGGAGATAATAATAGTACCCACCTCATGGCATTTGGGGGGGGATTTTTAAAAAGTATTTTTTTATTGATTTCAGAGAGGAACATCAATGATGATAGAGAATCATTAATAAGCTGCCTCTTGCACACCTCCCACTGGGGATTGAGCCCACAACCCAGGCATGTGCCATTGACCGTACTCGAACCTGGGACCCTTCAGTTCACAGGCGAATGCTCTACCCACTGAGCCAAACCGGCCAGGGCTTGGGGGAGGATGTAATCATTGCTCTCCTCATCTCGCTGCTCATGGCTGGCCCTGTGCTGAGGACATAGTGGTGACCAAATAGCCCCAGACCTACCCTCATAATTCTCAGACCTACGGAGGGCAGACTCAGTCACATACAGTGACGACCAGAGTGGGCAGGACTGGGAAGGAATTGCTCAGGGGACTCAGATTGCCCAGAAGGGGTACCTGACCCAGACTTAGGGGTCAAGGAGAGCTTCCTGAGGAGGGGGCATCTGAGCTGAAGGTGGGAGGATGAATAAGCAGTTCTCCAGGAAAGCGGTGGGAGTTGAGGAAGAGGGTTATTTTGTTTTCTTCATCCTCACCCAAGGATAGTTTTTCTATTTTTTATTTATTTATTTTTTTTTAGAGAGAGAGAGAATGGAAGGGAGGGAAGGAGATAGGAGAGAGAGAGAGAGAGAGAGAGAGAGAGAGAGAGAGAGATGAGAGACACATCAATTGGTTGCTTTTTACATGTGCCAGGGATCAGGCAGGGGATAGAAATTCCAATCTAGGTACGTGCCCTTGACCGGGAATCAAACCCGCGACCCTTGGGTGCTTGGGCTGACCCTCTAACCACTGAGCGACACTGGCCAGGGTGAGAAAGAGTGTTATAAGCAGCTAGAACAGCAAGTGCAAAGGCCCCGAGGCAGGACAGTGCCTGGGGTGTTCCAGGAACAACAAAGACCAGCGTGGTTAGAAGTGGGTTTGTGTTTTACTCTGATTGAGATGTGGACGTCTATTTGCATGGGTTGGTCAAGAACTAGAACAGCTCAGCGACGTCCTAAATGGTCTCTAAAATTGATTCTTAATTGTTCTTATTGATGGATTACTCTAATATCTCCTGAACAGACAGCTACGGCGTGGACAAGAAGCGGAAACGGGGGATGCCCGACGTCCTTGGAGAGCTGAACAGCTCTGGTGTGTCCCCTTTGTCCCTTCCCACACCCCTCTCCAGCTCCCCGGGAAGGGGTGACTGGCCCCATGTCCTGCCTGCACCAGGCTGGGGGGCAAGGGCTGTTAGGTCCAAGGGTCCTCACCTCTGCCTTCCCGCAGACCCCCATGGCATCGAGAGCAAGCGACGGAGGAAAAAGCCAGTCTTCCTGGACCAGTTCCTGCCCAGCCATGGCACAGGTGGGTCCCAGTTCTGTGCCAGCGTGCCCTCCCCCCGCCCTGGGTGGGCTAAGGGTGAGCTGCAGTCCTGGCTTCTTGTGATCCCCCCAAAGCTCCCACAAAGGCCAGTGACACCTCACTTAGCCAGCAACATAGAGTGGGAAGAACAGCCATTCTGGATGCAGTCCGGAGGCTCTGATCCCCGCTGGACCGTCTGCTTGCTGTGTGACCTTCGCCAAGTTGCTCCCCCTCTCACAGCCTCAGAGGCGTGCCTGGAAAGTCTCACCACACACCTATCTCATTGGCCTTTTACACTTTAATGTATGTATTTTACAGGCACTCTGACAGGCGCATAAGTGCTTTGTGTGTCTTTTCTCATTTGATCTGCACCATCGCCCTGCAAGGTGGCTGCTCTCATTCTCCCCAGCCCCCGTTTTGCTGAAGCTCAGAGAGGAATGGTCCAAGGTCACACAGTTAACCAATGGTGGAGCAGGGCATCTGAGCACCAGTATAGCTTAGTGACCACGGGTATGAGACAGGCAGCAGGGAGTAGGAGGTGGGTGATTGGGGATGGCTGTCAGAGCCAGCCCACCTCACGATCAGAGCCCTTCTGGTCTGCCCACCCTCTGGCTTCTCCCCCTGCCTTCACCTCAACTCCCATGCCAGTCTCCAGTCCCCATGAACTGTAGTCCCATCTGGCTGCCATCAGAGACCTCCCACTGCTGACCATTAGTTCTGTCCCTGACACCCTGCTGCCCCCGGGCGCCCAGCTCCAGGCCAGCCACCCACCACTCAGTCAGCCCAGCCTGGACATTGCAAGACCATTTGTCCCTCCCCCCACAGCCACTGGTGACCAATGCCCAGCCACTTCACCCTATTTGTTAAGATCATGTTTAATGGTATTCACAGCCAAACCCAACACAACAGAGGTTTCGATAGGACAGAATGTATCTGTCCTTTCACATAAACACCGTCCAAAGGTGGTTTGATGGCTGCATGGTCACCATAGTCCCAAGCTTCCGCCTTTTTCAACTCAGTCTCCATGTCATGGTCCAAATGTTTGCTGCGGCTCCAGCCATCATGCCCACATTCCAGCCAGCAGAACGCAGGCAGGTCCCATATCGAGCTGCAAGGGATGCTGGGAAATAAAATCCCAGCAGCCCTGTGTTTCTTTCTGAGATGAGCATAATCAGACTTCGCTGGGGAAGTGTGTCTTGTCTCAAAAACAGAGGCTCTCCTATAACGACACTTGTCATTTTACCTTCTAGTTTGGGGCCTGGTGACTTCTCCCATGGCGTGGATATTTCACTTTTTTGATTGTCTTTGTATCTGGGGGGAGGGAGGGGCTGTTGAGCCTTTTGGGATTAGAAGAGGCCACACTGATCACACATTTCGCTGGGACTGGCCATTGGAGCTACAGCCTGGCCAGAAGGGGACTCTAAAGCCACCACCACGCTTCCTTCTCTCTCTTCTCATCCCTGCAGGCCCGTTCCTCCCCCCATCAGCCCTGCTGCCTGATTCCGACTTCTTCCCCAGCGCTGTGTCCCTCCCTGGCCTGGAGCCCCCTGGTGGGCCGGATCTCCTGGACGACGGTTTTCCCTATGAAACCACGAGCCCTGCGCTCTTCACCATGCTGGACATGCTGCCCCCTGCTCCGCCACTGGCCAGCGCTGTCTCGGGCAATGGGGTTGCAGGGGCCACCGTCGGGGAGCCATCGGGCCCTGAGCCAATGACACTGGACTCATACCAGGCTCCAGTCCCTGGGGATGGGGGCACTGCCAGCCTTGTGGGCAGCAACATGTTCCCCAACCAGTACCGCGAGGTGGGCTTTGGGGGTGGCCTCCTGTCCCCCGGGCCTGAGGCCACGTAACCACCTCAGTGCCAGAGGAGAGGCACTGGGTGGGGAGGGACGTGGAAGGGGCCATGGGAACCCAGCCAGGATGGGCAGTACCCCCTTTGGGCCACCCTTGGTTAGGTCTCCCCACCTCATCCTTCTGAATCGGACGTTGTCAGCATTGGTGAGAAGCTCTGCAGCACGGGGTTTCCCCTGAGCCCACTTTACAGATGAGAAAACTGAGTCCAGAGAGGAAAGGGACTTTGTTCCCATGCACTTAGTCCCCACAGTTGGGGACACCTTCTCCTGGATGATTCTGACGAGTGTACATATGGAGGTATTCCAGCCCGCCTTCCCCATGAAGATAGGGGACAGACAGGCTGTTGTCTTTCCAATAAATATGAGTTTTGAGCCTTAGGGATCTTGTCTCTTTTTTTGTTATTAGTTCCTCCTCAATCTGTTCTTAGGATGCTTATTTGCCCGTTCAGTTTTTATTCTTTTTTGGTTTTATGTATTTACTTTTTTCTTTTTTATTATATTTCCAGGATATATTTTTTTTCTCATTTTTTTTTAATTAAGGTATTGTTATGCCCAAGTGTCATAAACCCCAAAGACTACCAGGGAGCCGAATCCGATGCAATTGCAGAGAGTGTATTTATTTCAGACTAGTCCGAGCCCAGTCTCACCTACACCAACGAGGGCGTGGGCGAGAAAGAGGAAGAACTTAACATATCAATGGGTTTTATAGGGAGGGTGGTGCTGCTACCTTGGCTGACCTGATTGGTTGGGTTAGGCCTAGGGTCCAGTTACCTGGAGCTGGACCCGCCCCCACCTGCCCTCTCACCCCACCTGCCCTCTCGCCCCACCTGCCCCCTCACCCCGCCCTGCCCTCTCAGTATTATATGTGTATATACCTTACCAATCCTCACCCCCAGCCCACTCCCATACATGCCCTCCTTCCGAGTTTTTCATCCATTGGTATGCTTATATGCATGCATACAAGTCCTTGGGTTGATCTCTTATCTCCCCCATATCTCCTTATCCTCCCCGCTGTAATTTGACTGTTTCTTTACTGTCTGTATTTACTTTTTATTGTTGACACCGTTACAGATGTCCTCAATTTCCCCGCTTTTACCCGCCTCCACCCAGGTTTTCTCCCCCTCTCCCCTCATCTCTAACCCATCTTCCTTTCCCCTTTCCCACTCCCCCCACATTTTCCCCGTCCCACACCCTCCGGCTCCCGCTCCCGCCTTCACCACACGGTTGGGACCTCACGGACCACGGATTGGCCACCGCAGGGTCCCAGCCTGCAGCTTCCGCCCCGCCTCCCCTCCAGGCCCCGCCCCTCCAGGCCCCGCCCCCTCAGCCCCCGCCCCTGCCGTAGCGGAAGCGCGCTCTGCCAAGTTCCGCCTCCTTCCCTATGCGCGGCCTTCCACTTCCGCTTCCGGTGCGGGCCGCGCGCGAGCGCAGCTGAGGCAGGCGGCGACGAGCCGGTGAGTGCAGGCCCCCGTCCCGGCGTCTGGGCGACGTCAGCCCAGCTTCCCCCTCGCCTCCGCCCCTCCCGGGGCTTCTGTGAACTTCTGCTCGGCCTCGGTCCCGAGGGCCTCGCACCCCGCACCCTCTCCGGCCTGCGGGGCCTCAGGCCGTGCCGCCGCTTCTGCCGCGGGCCGGAACTCCCCGCGGCCGACCCCGCGCGGGCCACAGGTCCCGCCCCCTTGTCAAAATAAGAAAAACACAGCCCGAGCCCTCAGGGACTAGATGGATAGATGGGGTCTTCGAGCTCTTTCCAAAGCGTCGGGTTCCGCCCCTGTCCGGGAGCCTTGCCCCTAAACTGAACCCACTCCTTGCCGACTGCCTGCTCCGCCTCACTCAGCCTCTGCTCCCCCTCCCGCTTCATAGTCCCTCAGCCCTCAGCCCTGCTGTGAGGAAAGATAGCGCTCCCCCATGTTCCCTCTCCTTCAAGCCTCGGCGTCTTCCCTCCGTGCCCTTCACCTGCCCTCGACCTCCACCTCCTTCCTAAAGTCCTTTTCTTCCACCTGCCTTCATTTTCATCCCCTCCAACTCCTCCCGTCACGGCTGGCTTCTGGTGGGAGTCATTTCAGCTCTTCCCTTTCCCTTGAGCTCCAGTCCCAGCTGCTTGGCGTCTGCCTCCAGAGCTTGCTTCATATACACTCGCTCCTTCCGTTCCAAAACCGTTCATCCTTGACTCCAGCCCCGGAGGTGGATGCTTCACTCCAGAATCCCCTGGGGGTTTTCCAGAACGTGGATCAGAGTTGTCAGGGATACGCCTGAGCATCCGGTACACGGTTCTGCAGCCTCGCGCGCTCTGGCGGAAGCTGGCATCTAGGATGAGCTCTGTCACCAACTTGTAGGTGACTTTGATTCTGCCCACATGTTTTCTGCAGCCCATCTGACTCCCTCGTCCCATCATCCCCACGGTGAAGGCCTCAGGCCTGGCCTCTCCACCATGTGGCACGAGGCACGCAAGCATGAGCGGAAGCTTCGAGGCATGATGGTGGATTACAAGAAGAGAGCGGAGAGGCGGAGGGAGTACTATGAAAAGATTGTGAGTAACTGACCTTTAATCTGGGGTGGGAGCTCCCTGAGAGGGTGAGGTCCTGGTCATCCTGGTAAAATCTGGGCTCAGTTTACTCAGAACATTCGGCCATTTCTTGGGCATCATCAATGCTAAAACCCTGGGGCATTCTGTTTGTTAGCGCATCCTGTGGTGTTTGGTGTGGCCTCAGAGCACAGAGCTAGTGTTAGCAGGAAGAAGGAAGGTCTTTGAAAGCCGAGGAGCAGTCCAGATAGGAGACTGGCCACCTCCGGAATGTTGTTTGTTTTGCTTACTGCTGTATTCGCAGTGTCCAGGGCTCCCCCATTCTTGAGGTTGGCTTGGCATTCAGTATTCATTAAGTGAACTCTGACCACTTCCCTCTCCTGTTTGATGCTGTAATGCTTCACCTTTAGAGAGAAAACCAAACTCCATTCCATGAACTAAAAGGTCCTTCTGGTCTGTCCTCTACCGGTCTCTCAGCTTCAGTCTTGGATAGCTCCGAAGTCCTTTATTGCATCTCTGCCACCACACATTGTGCCTGTATTGCCTCCCCTCATCTATCTAATTCCTACTTGTCATTGAGACCCCAGTTTTAAAAGGCACTTATGTCCTAGGGTTCGTGTTCCAATTATATGATATTTATATGGACATTTCTAGTGCTACTGTGTTACTGCCCCCTCCCTAGTCTCCTGGCCTTTAGTCCTGCTCCATCCAGCCCACCCTCTTCAGAGGGCTCAGAGAGGTCTTTCTAAAGCTCAAAGCTGATCCTGTCCCTCATTTACTCAAAACTCCTTTGCAGCTTCCTAGTGCCCTTGAGAGAAAATCTAGGCTTCTCATCACAGCGTTCAAGGCCCTGCTGGTCTGGCTTTTGCCTCCTTTCAGACTCACACTACCTGTTCTGCCTCAATCCTTTGCTCAAGCCATCTGGCCTCCTCACTACCTAAGTGACCACCGCTAACACAAAAGATACAAGAATATAAGTTGCCCTAGCTGGTTTGGCTCAGTGAATAGATCGTCGGCCTGCGGATTGAAGGGTCTCAGGTTTGATTCCGGTCAAGGGCATGTATATTGGTTGCGGGCACATCCCTGGTGGGGGGTGTGCAGGAGGCAGCTGGTCAGTGTTTCTCTCGTTGATGTTTCTAGCTCTCTATCCCTCTCTGTAAAAAATCAAAATATATATATTATTGATTTAGAGAGGAAGGGAGAAGAAAACAGACAGCCTGGTTGCCTCTTCTATATGTGAAGTGATGTAACATGTAGAATCAGGTTTGGCTGTGAATAATAGAGACCTAAAACATCAGTGGCTTAAACAACAACAAAAAAATTATTTCCTTTTCCACATAGATGCACATTGGTACCCAGTTCTGTCTAGCTCTACGTGACTTCTCTTCCCAGTATTGTGTCAGGGTCTAAGAGGGCTGCTCAAGCTCTGGCCATCATGTCTTCATTCCACCCTCCAGGGAGGAAGAAAGGAGGAAAAAGAAACCGAAATGCTCATGCCAGTGCTAAGAAAGTTTCCAGGTGTTTGCACATGACACTTCAACTCATGTGGCACTGGCCAGAAAGTAGTCCTGTGGTCAGGAAGGCTAAGACATATAAACTTTATTCTGGGCGGCCTTGTGCCAGGCATATCAGGAGTCCTATTCCTGCTGGAGAAGGGGGATGGGTCGTATGCCACTTAATGTGCGCCACGAATGGTGGGGATGAGAGCAGTCCCCACCCAGGGCCGTTGGGGCATTTGGTTAGATTGAGCACAGAGACCCCTGAGCTTGGGCTTGCTCAGGGCAGGTGCTCAGTCGGCGCTAGCTCTTGTTCCTGAACCTGTTATTACCAGGTAGAGCTGGGATTTGCATCCAGGTTGATGGTGTAGACGAAAGAGGGCTGGAGTTGGGTCACTCTGAAGGCCTGGGACTCCAGGCTCTCCTTGTTAGCAGGGAGCTGCCTCAGCTTTATTTTCCCCTTGGGACAGTGGTGATGATCAGCCCCTCTCAGGGTTAACTGGGAAAAGCATCAAGAACAAGAACAGTGACTGGTGCAGGCCTGTACAAGCTGTCCTTGTCCCCATACATGAACGTGACCAGCATTCCAATCCAAACCACCAAGCTGTGGACAGCAGCGGCTGGGCAGTTGCTGATGGCCGCTTTGAGGCGGGGATGGGCTGCTTGCACAGTCTTTTTATCTCATTTTTGGGCTGAGAAAGGCGGCTGTGGGCGAGTTTTGAAGAAGCTGAGGAATATTGTGGCAGGTCAGAGATGTGTCCAGACAGAGGTGGCTTTCCTGCCTCTTATTTGTCCTTGGTTCATGAATCCTCTCTCTTTCTAGCAGACATTGGTTCTGTTATTGCTTCTGTCCTTGTCAACTCTCTTCTTTAATCAGTGGTTTGCATAAAGGAACAATTCCCTGAAGATATGAAAGTGGAAAATAAACAAATCCCAGCTCAGATGTCTCCAGAAAGCCCTGACCGAGTGAGGCACCTCCC